CCAAATAATGAGTCATTTTCACGCATTCTCTAGATCAACTTCATGCTTGATCTTAGACAGTCAAATGATAAATTGATTTGTTTCATCTGAAACATAATGCCATAGCCCATGTTTCAAAATGGTAAAAAAATCAGGTCGATAATTTTGGTTCTTTGAGGAGTAATAAAGAATTTAAAATAGCTAGCTGTTTTTCAGACATCCTGTGTGTCAGTTTCTATGAATTATAAATTTTGATAACTTTTGTATTTAGCTGGTTATTCGTTATCATATAAGTTATTTTCTACTCTATTAAATATAATTATGAGCCATTGTATTTGATAATATTGAAATCGAACTGAGAAATCATCAAATGGGACCGAATTGAGAGGGGATCAAATTGAGAAGGGACCGAACTGAGGCAGTACCCAAGTAGGAAATAATCAAATGGGACCGAAACGCAAAAGGACCGATTCGGACCGTATCGGGAACTACCTCATTTTAAAAATTGAACAAAGCAATAACGACTATCAAATATAGAATATGTGCATGTTTTAAATTTTTGTTCTCTCTTCAGCTTTGATATAAAAATGAGCAATCAATTGATCAAAATGATCGATGAGCATTACCATTTGTACAAAATAATAAAAGATAAATGTGCGAAAAGTTTATGAAAAGTAAACGTTCTATAGGTAAACTTGATAAATAATATTATGATGATCGTGTAAATACAATTTGAATATTTAAATGGTTTGTCATTTATAGTTGTTAAATAGAAAAATCTTACGATTATTCCTTTCTTTGATTTTTTGATCTTTTGACTTTTGTATGATGTATGTAACAATATTAGTATTATGCCAAAAATAAAGAATATCTTGCAAGTTGAAATTTTCGATATTTTTTCGGTTAACTGAGAAATCTGTACACTTTTTAAAGTTTGTTAATATTTGTATAATTCGTGAGTGTAAAGAAAGATATTAAGATGCAATAGCGTTACTTTTTCATACTTTGCATAAATAATCAAAAAGACATTTTCGGATATGTGGTACAATTTTGAAGTGAAAATAGTATTTTCAATTGAGAACTTCAAATGGTAATACTCGATCATAAAATAAATATAATATAGAAAAGTATTAAGAATGAACACTTCAATTTCATAGTATAGATAGAAGAGAGACAGAGCTATAATACAGTAAAAAGAAAAAGTTTTCATATCTCTTAGAAATTCTATTGACTAGCTAAGAAGTTTTAGAAGAGTAATTAATTTTAGTTAATATCATGAGATCCATGAAAGGTTTTTTTTTTGTCACTTGGAATTACAGATTTGAAGTCCATATCGGTATTGAACGAACCGAGTTGTTATTCGTTTCATCTGTATATATCGATATTTGACATAATCAGATTTCAACGAAGATTCATTATAAGTGCAAAAAAATGTTAATAAGACAAACTGATAATGACCAGTCTAAAATCTGTATCAGTCCCAGTTTGATATCATTGAAAGGAATTTGCAAATTACTTTTTTAATAAATGCACAGAATTGTTTGTCAAATGATCGTTTATATTAAAATATAATGTTTCCTTTATTCAAGCATTTTGCCATGTAATAATCATAAATAATTAATAAAAATTTTTGAAAAATGAGTTTAATTATTAATGAAGAGCATTATATATGTCTAGTTAAATATTCATTCAACAAATAAAAAACTCTCTTTTTTTTTTATTCTGAAATAAAAATTAATTTTTATCAACTTTGTTTTTTTGTTCGTTTTCTATTTATTATAGAAATAAAACTCAGACAATAAATCGATTCCTAGATTTGAACATTTAAGAAAAACACCACTATTGAACATCTGTTGCTTGTAAGACAATCATTGTATATTCTTTTTCTAAACGAATAAAAAAAAAAAAACAAAATTGTCGAGATTTTTTTCTTTGTATACACATACCAGGTGCAACAAGAATTTCATGTTTTTTTGTACGCATTCGAAAAAAGACAAGTTCATTTGTTGGATCAATTTCACGAATTGTTGAACGAGCTTTATCAGACAATGATTTAATTAATGCTGCATATTGTTGTGTTAATGATGTATCTAAACTTGAACGAATTGGAATACCTTAAAAAAAAATAAACGAGTTAAAATAAAATATTTTTATTTATAGATCAACATGCAACAATTCGAAACTCAAGTTCGCAAAATTATTCAATCAGTTCTAACTATATTGAATATTTACGTCATGGTTCGAGCATTTCTTCAGTTGCATGAATTAATCATGAAAACTTTAAAAGATTTAGATAATTTTTAAACATTGTTAATTTTATTTTAGAATAATTATCGCATGTTAGTTCATTTCTTTCACGAAGTATAAATTTATGATAACTAACCCTGATATCCTTTCTATTAATTACTTCAAAATGACTACACTTAAGATCGAATCTAAAGGTTGAATATATCATTGCTAACGAGCCAAAAATTAAATATATTTAAGCATCTTCATTCTCCTACTCGAACTTTTTTTAGTCTTACAAAAACATAAGTGAAACAAAGAAAAATGATAATTTATTCAAAATTCTATTTTCGAACTTTATTCTTAAATTTACCCTCATTATTTATAATTAAATAACCTTGAACACCTTTATGTTCTTGAATTCGTTTCAATGTATCATCAACTTCCGCCTTCAATATACAAAAACAAAAAAAAAAAGCAATTATCACAAATATATAAATCTTTAATTTTTATTAACCTGTGTCATTTGAAATATTATTTAAATCTACAAAAAGAAAAGAATGTATAAATTGAATTCTTATTTATGAGATTATAATTATTATTTCAAAAAAAAAAACACGGACGGAAACATAAGGCAAGAAAGACAAAAACAAATACGAATAAAAGTTTATGCTTGTTCATTCGCTTGTAAAACAATTGTCAGGTAATCTTTATCTAAATAGAACAAAAAATAAATAAATTCTTAAATAGAAAAAAAAAATCAACACGTTGGTTTTTTTCTATGATATTACCAGGTGCAACAAGAATTTCTTGTTTTTTTGTACGAATACGTAAAAATGTTAAATCATTTTGTGGATCTAAATCTCTAACACAACTTTTTGCTTTATCAGAAAGTGTTCGAATAAGACTTGTCAATGACATTGTTGTTGAATTATCAATTGTTGAACGAACAAAACTACCTTTTATTACAAAAATTTAAAAAAAAATAATAATTCAAGCAAAAAAAAAAATAATAATAATAATTAAATTACCATCATTACTCGTTAAAATAAAACCTTGAACACCTTTATGAGTTTGTATTCGTTTTATTGTTTCTTCAATTTCAGCTTGTTGTGTCGATGCTAATGTTGATGTTGAAGACATATTTCTGTTTTTGTTGCTTATAACAATTGATGCACACACAATAGACACAGACACTCAACTAACAGACTCGATAGACTAATGGAAACTATGACGACTGTATAGTATTTATATAAAATGTCAGTGACACCATGGAGAACAATCATTGAAGAGGTTAATAGAGAACATGTATGGCAAATGTTAGACCAATCATAAAACAATTTTTAAGAAGTAGATTATTTTAATGATGATCAATAAATCTTAAATGCGATACAAAAGAATCAATAAATTAGATTATTCTATGAATAACAGTTATTATTCAAATAAAAAGAAAATTTAAAGAGAAAGACTAAAAAACTAGATTTTGACCAAAAAAAGTAATTAGTTTATTCTTTTAAGGTCTCACCCCTCCCATCCCTCCAAAATCAATTTTGATTACAGTACATTGAACTTCCGTGAAACTTTCGATAAATCTTGGGCACATGAAAGTAAAGTCATGAAATTCTTTTTTTTTGTTTTATTTGTCTAAATTTCAGCATTCAGAAGTTTTCTAGAGATCATAGCTTAAAATGAACTACAATTTGGACTGAGAGGAAGGGCTTTTTTAAAATTTTCCTTTATACAGTTTAGAAGCATTCAAAATCCTATCCTAACAGTTCTTAAAAATCCTGAATTTCTCTTAGATAGATAATTAAATCAAAAAAAATTTCTTTTCGTCATCCGAAGTACTACACACGTATGTATTAATTCAAAAAAAAAATCACAGCTCTCTAGGATGAAATATATTGAAAAAAGAAAATTGTTCTATTTACAATTATTAACAAGAAAAAAATCCGTTCGGAGAATTTTTAAGCCTACTATGAAGAACAAAGACTTCTAAAGATTTTCTAGAAATCTAGCATTACTATCATATCAAGCATGAAGAAAAAAAATGTATGCTTACAATTTGAGAATTTTCGGTTATCAAATAAAGAAGAGAAAAAATTTTCAATAGCTGAGACAAGTATGAAAATGGATGCTATCAATTATTTCCTTTTTATATTTCTTAGAATGACAAACGAGAATTTTTCAGCAAAAAAAGAAAATATGAAATGGTAAAGAATAAATATTATTAACTAATGAACGAAGTCCTCCCATTGATAAATTGCTTTTGTATCAAAACTATGTATATTATGTAGAGCTAACTGAACAATCGATATTCTGAAACGAACTCATGCTCTTAGCTTATCACTGTGTACATACTGCAGTTGCACAGGTAAAATAGAAATTGATTTTCGAATTTTAATCTCAAACTTTCCATAGTAAACTTTTCTTGATAAGGTCTATATCTATCATAAAATTTCAAAATCAGTTTTTTTTTTTGTTATCATTGTATTCCTTCATAAAACTATCGTACAAGTTAGAGAATTAGTTTCGTTAATAGATAATGTTCAACTATTATTGTTTCATTTATTTCCCGTTTACTAACAACTTATAGTCTTGTTTTCGGTCAAAAATTTCCTGTTTTTTATTATTATTAGATGTACAAAAATCAAAATAAAAGACTGCATATTTCTTATGCTTTGCTGTAGGACAAAGGTAAAATCATATTCGACCTGTGTTCCTACATAGAATAGAACAGACAACTTTTTTTTATAACTATTTTCTATTCATATTTCTATTGTCAATCTACGATGGTCAGATAGTGCAAGTATTGATGTGAATGACAATCTTTTGTAAACTCTCACCTACATACCCATCTTGTCGTATTTGCGAAAGTATTGATATATTCAATGCATTTATCGAGATATGTATGCTAGATGAAAATCGAAATTGTTTTTTTTTTTTTAAATTATAAATCTATCCATTATTGCTTTATAATTATCTATTGATTTCTATATAAAAAATATTAATTGAAACATTGTACTTATTTCTAAAATTCGTATATAAAGTTGATTATTCAACAAAATAGATGAAAATCGTTTTTTTTTGTTTTGTTTTGTTTTAAATAAATCTTGAAAATCATTCATATATTTCATTTTTTGGATTTAATTAATAGAAAAAAAAAATATTTATTAAATATAAATTCACTAAATAAAATGAATCAATTCATCAACATTCTTTTTTGTTTTATTTTATATTTATCTAAAGATGAACATCAAAACTTTATATTATGTTAGAGTAAACTTGGCGAATGATTCTAAAATCAACGAGAAGATTTGTTCAAAATATTCACAAGAAACTATATCAAGGAGAATAACAACAACAAAAAAAAGAAACACAATTTATGAAAACATTATAATTAAAATATTATTTCAAAAACTCGATTTTTATCGCTGGATTTATTGTTATCAATATTAATCATTACACCAACAGAAAAGATACATGTAGAACATTCATGTTTAAACATTTTTTTATATATCCTTTTAATTCATAATAAAAAAAAAGAAAACTATTAACTTTCATATTTTAATATATACACAACGCTGAAATATTTCATTGATTTTATTCGAGATGTTCATCATTGTACATATTAATTTATTTTATTCTATCAACAAACTTGATTGATCTATAAAAGAAAAGAAGAATAAATAAATATTAATAATACTAACAAATAAATTTTAAACCTTATGATAGTTGAGTGTTCGAATAAGTAAAATTGTTGAGAAAATGAAAAAAGCTCATGTAATTGATTAGATCTAACAAATATGTGATATTATAATAAATATTATGGAAAGAATTAAGATGTAAAAAAGAATTTATCAAACGCGAGATTTTGGCATTATTGAAAATTGATCGATCAAATAAGCACATTGATATTTTAGTTTAATTTGTTTTTATTCATATTGCTAACGTAGAATCGTATTCTTTAGCTACGTGATGGGTCTATAGAAAACAATAAATATAATACAATCATATGTAATAATAAAAACAAAAAAAAAAAATATCATACTGGAATTGAAAAAACAAAACAAAACAAAACACAATATTAATATTTTTTCCGTAATGTTTTGATCATGAAATGCAATCGTATTTATTTTTTTGTTATATTAGCGTAATTTTGTTTATTTAACAATAATCACCAGAATATATAATAATCAAATATTAAAAAAAGAATAACCCAAACAAAGATTAATAAAAAGTGTGGATTGTATTCTTTCCTTATGAATTGTTGCTGAACATTGTTTATAGAAAAATAAATCGTTTTATATCGATTTATTTTATTCTTTTTTTTTTTATGCTTCATTAAACACGATCAGATTCAAGCTGGTTTCATTCTTTTTTTTTTTTCTTCGTCACTTTTTCTTTTTGTGCTCATTAGTGTATTTGTATTGATATATTATATATATATATACGAACAAATAGTGAATATGTTTTGTATTGATAGGTATAACATAGGTATGATACGAAACAAATTAAACGATATTGACACTTTAATAGCATCTATATGAAACATTTTGTTTAGTTTAATGAAGACTAATGAGTGTCTCAATATAATTTTGTTTATAACGTCCTTCAAATCAACTTTCTATTACTTCAATAAATCATAACTCATTTTTTTTTTTTTGATATAACAATTGATAAATTCGTATATTAACGACATCTATAACATTTACTTTTCGTAAAGATATTTGCATTAATTTTGATTCGTTTTTAATAATAAACGAATGACCTTAATTCTCTTCGATCGAATAAAACAAGTACAGAACAGAGCAAATAACTTTAGTTTTTATTTGATATAACATCTATATATATATTGTTACATTCTTTTTTCTCTATTACAAAAAATCATTTGTTCATTTTCTTTTTGCTTTATCTTTTATGTATATTTGTAGCATGTATATATTCTAAAATTATGAAAGATATTGATATATGATGACGATGTTTTGTTTTTATTGTTAATAACAATTTGATTGTTTTTTTTTTTTGTCATTCTTCTTTAATTAATAAAATATTCAATGCAAAGTGATTCATTATCGCTCGATACACTTAAAAATAAATTATTATGTGCTGTTGATGGTGAATATAATGTAAAATATTAAAAAAATTTTTCAATTTTTTTTTTCGTATAATAAAATCAACAAAAAAAAAAAAAAAAATTTTGTTTTTTTCTTTAGGTTATTAAACCTGAAACTGTATTGGAAATTATTTGTCAATTAGAAAAAATGGAAATAACAAAAGATCAATTACAAGTTTGTAATTTTAATATTTATTTAATAAATAATATATTTTATTTTATTTTTAGACAACTCGTCTTGGTCGTGAAATAAATACAATACGTCAAAAATTAGATGGACAAAAAAAAAATTTCTTATCAAATGAAAAATATTCTGAATTATTTATTGAAATAGCTCAACGAGCAAAAAAACTTCTTCGATCATGGCAAGATTTATTAAATATTTCACAAATAAATTCATTATCATCAACAAATATTGATATAAAACCTCGACTTATACTTAAAGTTAAATTAAATTCTTCAATAAATAAACGTAAACATAATTCTGATATAGATTTATTAAATGGAATTAATAATAATAATAATCATAATAATAAACGAAAAAAAACTCAAGTTATACAAACACCTATACCATTAACAACATCAATATCACCTATTATATTAAATGAAACAAATAATAGTTTACCACGTTTAAAAACTACACAACAAATTTTAATAGAAATGCAAAAAAATGAACCAAATGTACTTTCAACACAAACATCAACTGTACATGCTATATTACAAAAGAAAATTATTGATGAAAGTCTTCATGAACAAATTAAACTTGATTATTCAGCTTTACATCATGGAAGAGATTTAAATAATATTAATATTAAGTTAGTTACTATTTAAATTGAATATACACTCAAATATATATATATATATAGCTGAGAATAAATTTTGTATCGTTTTGTGAATATTTTAATTTATGTTTTAAATAGATCATAGTGTAATTGAAAACAAAAAAAAAAATTTATATTAAAAGAAAACTTAAAGTGTTGTTTTTGTATTTTATTCTATAGATTTTCATTTATACTCATAGTTGAAGACCATAGGAGAATACTTTATTTGGGTATAGAGACCATCATGACTTCTAGAGTCTGTTGGATTCAAAATTTTTATACTTAGAATCAACCTAAAGGGTTTTAGTGATTACGCTATTTCACTCATATCTAAAGTCGGATGTTCATTATGTACTACTAACAACCTTGAAATGATCCTAGACAAGTCATTAATAACTGTTTGTCTCTCAATTACTCGTTCTAGAGGACGCTGACTACAGTGTGATATATACTTAGGACAAACCAAAAGTTCGTAGAACAGTGTTTAAAGAACCTTGTCGGATAAGGTAACCTATTCAGAAATGAAAAACCAAATATACCATGTTGTAGAGCTTTTTGAGGTGCGTCGAATGGTATATAGTAAATCCTGTTTTCATAAGACTTTGAAGGAACTAGAGTCAATTTACTGATAGACGAGTACACACCCACACTGACAAGATGACCGGAGATGCTACATATATGAGGTTGTAGCCCGTCAAAAACTCTGCAAAATCATATGTGAGAAAAAATATTTTACAAATACTTTCGACTAATATTCAGTAACGTATCATACTTAGGTGAGGGTGTGAGTATGGGTGCGTAGTCGTCTATCAGTAAATTGACTCTAGTTCCTTCAAAGTCTTATGAAAACAGAATTTATTATATACCATTCGACGCGCCTCAAAAAGCTCTACAACATGGTATATTTGGTTTTTCATTTCTGAATAGGCTACCTTATCCGACAAGATTCTTTAAAACCGTTCTACGAACTTTTGGTTTGTCCTAAGTACTTGCTCATATGGTTAGTTACTATTAGTTGTAAAGACGATATCGAACTGTTGAATCTGTAGAAAGGAAGCCGTGTTCTTCTATGACTTGGATATTGAATATCTCAAGAAATATATATTCGTTATCATTAAAACTTTAAGGATTATCTAATAATTATTAGAGAATCTTCGATCTTATTCTAATTATTAAGAAACTGATTAATGGAAAATTTTTTTTTTAATTTTATAGTTCTACTCATCATTATCAAAGAAAACTTTCATCTTCAATTACATCTCCAACTAATACACTTATAGCATCCGGTTTATCATCAAAATTTCAATCAGTTAAACAACAATCATCATCATCATCAACATTAATATCTTCGAATAGTAATTGGGAAAATGGTAGTAGTGCTGGTTCACCTATATCACCATTATCATCTTCATCATCATCATCATCATCTATAACTAATTGGCCTCTTTCAACAATCATTCCTGAATCACCTATAACTGTTTCTGTTATTTCAAAAAAGAAACATCATAAAAAACATAATGAACAATCATCAAATATTGAACAGTCAAATATATATTCGTCTGATCTAGAAACTATTTGTTCATCATATAATACAGTTGCTGATCTTGTTGAAGATCATCGTCGACGTATAGTAGCTAAATATGATTTACGAGAATTAGAAGCAAGACCTGATCTATTATTAGTACCAATTGATCAACTTGCATTTGTTTATGAACGAGAAAGGATTAAAGAATTAAATATACCAATTGAATTAAAACATTCATCTATGACTAAAGTAGAAAAACTTACTCAACCATTAGATCTTATTGCTTTACCATTTATTGATTGTCCATTTGAATTTGATTTGATACTTGATGAACTAGTCGTACAACATCCGACTATGGACATGTAAATATAGGTTTTTTTTTCTTGTTGACTTTATTTGTTTCCAAAATTTAAACGAAAAAAACAAAAAAATGGTGTTTCAACAGTTTGTTTTTCTTTCTTTCTTTCTCATCTTCGTGTACGTGTGTGCATGCTTGTTTACTTATTTATTTTTAAGAAAAACAACAAAGAGGATAAAATCTTGGTAAATAAATAAATATATATACATATATATGAAATGATTAATTTATATTTCATTTTTATTAGAAAGAATAAACGAAAGTAAAAAAGTGATCATCTAAATTTTAGTTTTCAAAAGATATAATTAAAAAAATCAAAAATTATAATAAACACTAAACTTTGCTTTGTTTTGAGTATGAAGATCTATTTGAATAGGGGAAAATATTCTACTTTTCGGCTACCTTGGAGTATAGAATTATTACCAGAAAAGAGATGTATTAACTTGATATCTTTCTTACAGGTATGAGTAACTGTCATTTTGGGTAGAAGGTTAGTTTGATTTAGAGTTCTCTCCATCAACCGCTTGAGCTGCACATAGACACTGAGTACTCACAAAGACTGATGTATGTCACTATCTGTTCAGTGTGCTATTGAATGAGTGGTCTGAAATAATCAAAATACTATTAATTCATTTGATATTTACCTTCATCAATTTATAAACAAATCGATGTACGTTAAATTTCATCATAGTGTATTATGTATCCAAACCGAAGATTCCGGTCGCAGGAACAAGGTGGCAGTATTCCGGTCGGAAAATTTTTGGATTTTTTTTCGGTGATTTCCGGACAACTTCCTGCAGGAAACAAGAGGAATTTGATCGGAAGTCACCGGAAAAAATCCGACAATTTTCCGGTCCGAATACTGCCACCCTTTTCCGGCGACTTCGGGTGTTTTCCTACCGGAACTCGCTCGTACTTCTCGACCTGAGTAAGATGCATAAGAAAATTTATGATTTTTAACAGCAAACTCAATATCATTCGTGCAGTAAAATTTCTGTTAGTGAACACCTTTCTATTTTGAACTTAAATAATTGTTTTTTTTACAGTCCCAATTTCTATTTTAAATGAACATATGTGCACTATTTCCAATATGAGAATAGAAATTTTTATATCAGTTTTTGTTCGATAATTATGAAATTCTTTTTTGAAAAGCTTGAAAATTTTTTTGTATTTTTATTATTGCCATTCGAACGTAAATCTTTATATATATACCAGCTTGTAGATCAAAAGCAACTCTAACAAAAATGCATTATTTGAAGTTTTTGTCTTTAGACACTATAATTTTCGTTGTCTCTCATTTTTGAAAAAGTGACAACCATTCTATATGAAATGAAGCTCTTGAGAAAAAAGCTACAGTCGGGTTCAATATAACATTTTATAGAAGTGTTCGTTTTACAAAAAGGCCGACTTCAACAATTTTTTGCATATTCGGCAAGAGATTTATAGAATAAACAAAAATACTTGTTGATTTACTCTTGAAAATTATTTTACATAAAATTTTGCTTCAAACTTATATCTTTTGACTCATTCGCAATACTATTCGATTATCGATTATTTTGAAACTTAATTTCATTTCATAGATAAATACTTTTTTAAAAGTCATGATTAAAGACGTTTTATTTTATATTATTTGTTCAAATATTTCATATTGTAAATATAAGTCAAAATAATAATAAAAAAAAAATGAACAATTTTATTATGTTCAAGAAGAAAGAAAAGAAAAGAAAAACAAAGATACAAATAAATTGTATCGTCAAATTTAAAAAAAGATCCTAAACAAAATATTATCACAATGTAAATGATATGAAGGAGCAAGAAAAAGAAAACGAAAGAATTACACAAAAAAGAAAAAATAATAAACTCATCGAATTTCTAGTACTGCTGTTGAAGATTCGATATGACAATGAAATATATGTTTATGTGCTCGAACAAGCCAATATTGATCATATCGATAACTATCAATAACACTTGTTTCATCGAATTTTTCATCATTATTATTATTGTTATTATTATTATTATTATTACTTGCTTTTAAAACAAACCAACCACGTACTATTAAACGTATACGTTCTAATAATGGTAATTGTTGTAAAAGTAATGTCCAAAATGGTGAACGTATATAATCAGTACTATAAACGAGAGTTTCTATGGAACAACGTCTTACTGATGGTACAGAATTTAATAAACGATCAAGAGTTGAAACATCAAATGGACGAAAACATAAACGAAGACATGTTATTTGAGTAAATGCATTGAATGTTAATGAGGAATTTATACTTTCTGTTGTTAATTTTGATAGACTACTACGAGAATCAAGTGTAACAGAAAGTGAACGAAGTCGTGGACAATTTGGTAAAAAAGATAAGAGACGATCAACATTAATAAAATCCAAATAAAGAACTTCTGTATTACATGATGAGATTGTTTGAGTTTCATACCATTGAAGTTTCTATGAAATTAAATAGATATATTACGTATGAAATTTATTATTATATTTTTCTTCTATGATAATGAATATTATCGAATAACAATCTGAATGATAAAAGAATAGATTTAATTTTCAAGTGAAATATAATTGAAAAAAAAAGGCATCTACCATATTCTACAATCTAATCCTACAGGGATTGTCTCTTTTGTTTTAGTTGGGAGGGTGTGTGTGTGTGTGAATCTTTAAAAAACTTGAAATATAAATTTGCACAAATATTTTCTTATGCTCAATATGGAGATCTTTAAGTAAATGTTGAAATTTTTGATTCAAATATAGATTTCTCGAAGATAATCTACTATAAACAATGTACTTTTTAAGTATATTCAATAGTGTTTTACTTGTCTAGAAACCTTCACAATATCTATAATTGAAGTCAATATGTTTTGTTTTTGATTGTTGATAAATTTTGACTATAACTTGATTTATAATTTAGATATTCATAACGACAAGTATCTAAACCTTGACACAAGCATCTGAAATTCGCGCGTACTTCAGTCCATGAAGTACATCATATCAGTTAAAACTACTCATATGATGCATATGCACGAGTGACAACTAGTAGGGTATGCTGATAATATCTAACGGTTATGCTCAACTATTATTAATATAATGTTATACATTCATAAAGATATCATTGGGGTTATATTCTTCTCGGTATACGCTTGAAACACTTAGTATAATACACGAATAAAACTAATCAATCATATGTAATTGTTCTTCTTGTGATAGAGTATTTGAAATTATTTGAAATTTGAATAGTGATGCCTGGAATCAAGCATCTCAAAAATAGAGACGAATAAGACGATGAAAAATGACTGAATAAATATTGTTCAATATAATTTCTTAGTTGATCTTTATGTAATCAAGTCTTTTCTAAATGTTCATGATTAACTAAGAATAAATTCATGTATTAAACTTCTTTTATTAATTGGGATCCGAACGAATTCCATTCAACAGCAGTGCAGCATATTTCATTAAGTCTTCATGTCATCAGTTGACATACATTATCTCTTTTAATCCAAGGCTGTCTGTCTATCATGTATTTTTTCATCAAATAATTCAACCTTGTCTCTTCGAACTGTTTCTGAAAGTATCAATTTTCATCTTCTATTAATTCTCTTTTGCTAAGAGAAGCTAATTATTCTCTTCAACATTATTTTTTACTTAAAATTAAACAAACACTCAAACCATTCTTTCATTTTATATTTACTTCATGAAAACGAAGTATTGAAACTTGAATATTTGATTGATTAAGTAATGCATATGTAACATTTGCTAATTCTTTATCACGAAAAATTTCATGTGTATTAATATGAAAATAATTTAGAAATGGTAATTGTTTAATTTGTTTAGCTATTTCTATTAATTCATCATGATTAATATCAATTAATGTTAATGCATGTAATGATTGAAATATAGTAAAATTTGTTTGTGAAAGAAATAAACGTATTTGTGGATAACGATTATAATGATTTGATAATATTAATGTAAATATATTACTAAAATTTGTATTTATTAATGATAAACAAAACTGATCAAAATTTAATTTTTCAATTTTTGATACATCAGCTGTTAATCGTAGACGAGAATCGAATACAAGTGAATGAAATCTTGAATTCATATTAAAAAATATTGTCCATACATCTTCAACATTCATATATTCAAATATGGCCATTAAAATTTCACCTGAGAGATCTTCAAAACAAGACATCTAAAATAATTTTAAATAAACATATATAATCTTGTTTTTTCATAGATTTTTATCATTATCTTTTTTTTGATTCATCATAGAAAACAAATAAGAGAATATTTAATCCTCATGTTTTGAGTTTACTTCAACAAAATGATCATTTCTTATATACATAAACAAATGTGTTCATCAATGAACATGACAAAGAAAAAAACAGAAAAAAAAACAACAAATCACAAAAAAAAATGACACAATGAACTTAAGTAAGCACCGGAAGTTATGATTAATCAGCATTAGTTGCTATTGTTGTTGTAAGTTTGACACGTTTTTGTTGTCGTTGTTGATATAAATTCATTACTCCACGTCCATTCATAGTTGATTGTAATGGTTGATCTTCTTCATCACTATCAACATGTTCAGTTTTTCGACTTGTTTGACTATTATTTGTATCAAGATCACGAATTACTTCACCTTGAACACTTACACGTACCGGTTCGAAAGCTAAACAAAGAATCTCTTTTATTCACAAATGAATTTTAATGTTAAAAATCAACATTTCGTATAATTGACAAGCTGTTTTTATGAATATTTCGCGTGCATATGATGACATAGATGGGTTTGATACCGATACAGATTTTAGACAACTTCTTAAATATAGTTCACGATTATGAACTTAAATTTCAATCTTACATCTTTATATTATGTATAATCTAGGAAGTTATTTGTGTGAATGCTCGAACTTCGTATAGACAAGAGTTAGAGTTTGTCGATTTCAAAAAAAAAAAATTAGAACATGTATAATATTGTTTTGTTTCAGTACGGAAATATGTAGCATCTTCAATCACAACAATTTAATACTGAAAATTTCTCAAAACAGATTTAAAATTTTCATATCTATCCGATAATTTAACGAATTCAATCCTAGATACTATTTTGGAAATCTTCCGAACTCTAATAATCAAGCTTATTTTATCTATATTAAATATTTCTAATTAATCTATTTTCATCATCATAACTTACTATCTGGTATAACAATACGAGCAACACGATCCATTAATTCATCAATGATAACAAATGGACCCTATTGATAATAAACAAAATCCATTGATATTTTCTTAATTTCTATAGAAACATACTTCAAAATTTCTTGGTGGTGGAAGAACTTTAACAAGATAAAGTGCTGTATCTGGTAATGGAAAAACACCACCAGGTGTTGGATGACTACCTGGTAATGGATTTCTTGTTGGTCGAAATGGCATTAAATGTTTTATATCTGGTCGAGGTAAAAGTGCACGTCGATCACGTGCAGCTTGTTCTAACATAGCTGTACCATTTATAATTGGATTTGTTGTTAATAATAATGATGATGATGATGATGTTTGTGTTAGTGTATCTTTATAACCTAATAATTTAAGTTCATCATTTGAACATGGTAATAAATTAAGAAATTTATATCTATCAATAAGTAATAATGTTTCACGATTCTCTAATTCATTTAAATCTGTATATATAGCTAAACGACGTTTTTCAACTTTTTTTATTGATTGTAAATCACCAACTTGTGATTCAAATTTAAGAAATTCATTCCATATTGGTAATTGTGTATGTTTTGATATTGAATTATCTAATGATAAAACACGTTCAAATAAAACACGTGCATTATGATCTTCATTTAAATGTGTCATATAATCAATATATGCTAATATATAATCAACATTTTGTCCATATTTTTTTAAACCAAGATTAAATATATTAAACGCAATATTATTATCTTTTGTACAATAATATTCCATTAATGCAGCAGCAATATATATTTGATGATTTATACGTAAATCTTCACGTGCACGTTTAAATATAGCACGTGCTGATTTTATACCATCAGTACGTCTTTCAAAACGCATTGCTTGTATATATGCTAATGTTGGATCTTTTAAATTAGCTTCATTTATATCAAGTAAACGATTATAAATTGAACGAGCTTTATCAATATTTAAACGATATTCTTCAAAATCTGAATAAGCAAAATGTATAAGCATATTTGAACGCATATATGTTTGAATTGCACGTTCATATAAAGTTGATGCTTCATCAAGAAAACGTTTTGTTAAATGTGCATCACCTCGTTCAGAATATGTACGAGATGTTTGTTCCAAATAAGCACATGCTTCATACCTGATGAAATAATAATAAAAAAACAAAAAAATGTTTTAACTTAATTTTTCGATTTCGAATAGTTCGGTATTTTTTTTTTTTGTTGAATCTATTGAGCCTGTTCGTTACATATAGATAGTATCTATTCAGATAAAAATCATGAGAGAATATTGATTAGACTCTTCATTCAATAGTTCATCACTGTCTATGTCAAATAGTTTTAGTTTGTTTGATTTATGAAGTAATCTCTACACTGGTGAATGTCCTACTATGATTAAGTTTTCTAGAAAAAATTTTACAATCGTCATTATCGACGAAGACGAGATTCACATTGACGAGTGAAGGTCATCAACTGATCAATCACTTTTACGTTGAAACTATGGGTAATTACAGTACGCTTTTAAATGAATGCTGTGATCTTCTTCCTTAGGAACATCAGAAAAAATAATATTCGAATTTCAACTTGAAATTTTACGTAAAAATAGATCTTGTCGTGAATAGTATTTTGTGAAAGTTTCAGATCTTTTTACTATTTATATACATAGATATAACTATGATAACTTCATTCAGATAAATCAGAAGCTTTGATGTTCTCATTTCAGGATAGAAACAAATCAATTAATTATTCTCGGTAAGGTCTATTCCTACATAAAGTTTCAAGCAGAAATTCGAAAATCAATATTTTTTTTTTTGGGTGTTCCTAAGAAGGACTACGGTACTCATTTAAACATATACTACAAAAATTCACTATCCAGTGTTTTCATCATAAATTCTTTGCATAAAAATTTGTTGAATTCTATCTCTAATTTCAATACATACCAAAGATCAGCATGATAACCAAGACAAAGAAGACATTGTTCATACGCAAGAATAACTCGACGTGTAACAAGTAGAATATCTTCAGTTTTCAATGGATTTGAACGTTCCCATGCAATAAATTTTCTCCATGCTGCTAATTGTTTAATTTCATCTGTTGATTGTGGTGATGTTGGTGGTATACATGGATTATTTCTATCAATAGCACGTGTTAATGTGTCTAATTCTTTTGTAACTCGTTTAACATTAAGAAAATCTCTTGAACGACTTTCAATCATATTTTTACCTAATGCTGGATTTATACTCTAAAATAACAAAAAATTATTTTTTTTATTCAATTATTAAAGTTTTACCATTTCATATGCACAATAATCTTTCCATAATAATTCTACACTAATCATTGGTATCATAATACCTTTATGATAAACTTTTCGTACGGCAGCTATTTTTTGATTTTCAGCATATGAACCAACAGCCTCTCTTATTGAATATAAAAATAATTTATTTTCGTATATATATATATATATAAATTTCAATATTCTACTTACACAGATTTAAGAAAAGTAACATAATCATTCCAAATTGTATATGCATATACATCCATTCCAATTTTTTCCAAAGCAAAATCGTATGCTTGAGCCATTTTTTCTCTGAATAAAAAAAAACGTATAAATTTTATTCTTAATTAACAAATCTTTTTTTTTAGTTGCCAAATAAATTTAAAATTCATGATTTTTCTCAATAAGAAAGTAGATATTAATAATCTACATACTGTGACAAGTATCATTGTGTCCATTTTGATAAGGAAGAGGAGCATGTATATATTATATATATATATATGTGCAGGACAATATCAATGATAAAATAAATATATATATATATGTATAAGAATGATGATCGAAAATATTATGCAAAAAAATAATTAAAGATAAAATAAAGACGTTTTATTTAATTGTTTTTTTATTTTTAAAGAATGTATAACAAATGTATGATATGAAAAACAAAACACGATGATTATTACTATTATCTCGATTAATATTATCTATACTCAATTTATTTAAAATAAAAACTAATGAAAAAGAAAAAAAAAAAAACGAATCCAACCTGAACGACGGTAATATTCCTTTGGTATCACGTACATAATTTAAATAACATTTCCATAAATCAATATTCAATACTTTAATTAAACATCGTTGAAATAGCTAAAAAGAAAAATTTACAATATAAATAATTAACTTAAAATTAATCAAATTATTTTACAATAAAAACTAAAAGTGTCGATTCATGTTTTTCTTTTGTAATATACATACCTTTTCAACTTTTTCATAATTTCGTCCTTTTATCTAAAATAAAATTTATTTATATATTTTTGAAATCATTAAATATATATATATACTTCAGATTCAACATAAATCTTCCAAAATTTACCACATGTTGGAAATTGTGTAACTAATGATTCGTAAAATTCTCTTGATTCAGCTATTTTTTTATCCTTAAATTTAAAAATATTTTTCAATTAAAAAAAAAAAAAAAAGGTTGAATTTCAAAAAATAAAACAAACTTGAGCATCTTGAATAAGTATAGCCCATGCATCAAGTGAATATTTATTTTCATTGAGAATTCGTCGTGCTTGTTGAATTTTTTCATTACGTGTTAAATCCTAATTTAAAAACAAAAAATGAATTAATAAAACGTTCAAAATACATTATATTCTTTTTTGTTTACCTCTCGCATATATATACTCATTTTATATTGAAAAACAAACCAAAAAAAACAAATCTAAAATGGTTTAAAATAAAAAAAAATCACACTTTAATTTTTTATTTTTTAATAGCTTTGTATCTAAATTGGAAAAAAATATTTTGTTTTTTTTTTGGGACTTTTTAATTAAGCATTGAACGACGGACAGATAGTAAAGCTTGAAGCAAAAAATAACCAATAACACATGTATAAAAAATTCTATCACGATACTGTCGTCTAGCTAATGTTCGTTCAATATAATTAACACGAGTTTGAAGTAATTGAAGTTTATTTAAAATATTTTTATCATCAATACCATTAAATGATTCAACATGCCATCTATAACAAAACAAATCAAAATCATAAATTTTATTGATTTTATCTATTTATATTTACGATTGACTAAGTTTCATAGATTGATTATCTCGTTGAATATTTATTAATGTACCTTCATCATCACTTCTAGTTTCAATATCCGTTGGAAGAAGTGTTGATGGTAATGATGGTTGTTGAATAAAAGAATTTGATAATTGATTTGATTCATTGCTTATAAAAAAATCTGTATCATTCAGTGCTATCACACTTCCATTACCACCTAAATTAAAAATCAAATAAATCAAAATAAAAAGAAAAACAAATATATATGTAATATTTATTTACCAGGTCGAAGTCGATCAGGTACTTCCATACGCACTGGTATTGGATCATCATCAGGATGAATACGAGGAAATGTTGATCGAACAGGACCAACTGTTATTGAATGTGGAACATGCATTTTAGCACCTGTGATAAATATTAGTCTATAAGTTCTGAGACATGAACTACATCTTATCAAGAAAATAATTTCTTTATTTACGCCAGATATGAGCATAAGTCAAAATCTTCGATTTTTGTTTATATGCGAGAAATAGAAATATTCAATACTTCTACGTTCTAATCGAAAACATTATTTTTGTTAATAAGTATTATTTTTTTTTGTTATTAGAACTCTGATGCAAAAGCATCGATGTAACTAAAGTAAATCTAAATTTTTTAAAATCTATATATGCGAACGTGTTTTAATCAATTGTTTGACTTTACTGAAGTTTCGGCATAGCGTCTTATTTCGAATGTTATAATAATCAAGATGTAAAAGTATAAGTCAATGTATTGATTAGTAGCGGGTTCAACTGATTGGCTTACAATATCTCTATTAGAATATAAGTGAGAATACATTTGAATTACAACCATATCTTAAATTTATTCCTTCCTTTTTCATAATTTGACTATAGGTAAATAAATTTTCTTTAGTATTGTAACATTTAATTCAATAAAATGGTAAATTATTAATTATATCTGCATTTAGACGTTCTTGTATTGACTATGATCTATAGTATTATTCATATACTCGAATATAATCATGTAATTTTCTACTAGGGCATGAACATTCATTAAAAGTAAAGTCAATTGATATTATGATGAAATTTTATGGAATTAAACTATTTTTCTCAATTAATAGTATTCGAAATGATTACATTTTGTACAAATTATAAATCAAAGAATAGAACTTACTCATTTTTGTGATATGATCAACATCAATTTTTTTTTGTATTAAATCATCTGGATCATCTGCTGAATGATTCATCTTGAATAATTCACAATCTAAAATTTTCATTTTTTTTTTAGGAAAAAAAAATTCTTTTTTATCCTCATATTGAAATACCTCATCATAAAAGAAACAAAAGGTTTTTTTTTTGTTGTGTATATAAAGGGGAATAAAAGAGAAATGATCATACATAGAACTAGAAACACATACACACCTGTTAAACCATGCGACTACTCAAGAATGAACAAAAAAAAAAAAAGGAAAGTATAATCAAAGATACACATATATGACATATAATACGAGGATATTATCCTAATTGAAGAATAAATAACAAAGATGTAAAATGTTGTCACTGTGAAATAAATGATTGTTGTTGTTTAAATATAAGTATTGATTCCGATGACCAATAAAGATTACAAGATTTATAAACTAAATAGATTTATAATGATAGATAAATAAATTAAATAAAGATAAAAAATAATACCTAAAGTCCATACATAAGGTACAAAAAAATCTTCAGGTTGTTCTTCTTCTACATATTTAAATTTTAATTCAGGAAATTTCTACAAATGTCAAAAAAAAACAAATAAATTAGAAAATAATTATTTGTTTTAGATTTACTTTTAATCGATCCAATGGGAATTGTTTAGCACCCATTTCTAAAGCTTCTTTAACATATTCTGTTGAACGTTGTTCAAGTTTATCGACTTTTTCAGCAAAATAAATAATAATCTAAATAGAAAAGAAAACAAAAACAATTGATCATAATAATTTGTGTTAAATAAAGAAAATTTAAATAGATGATAGTTAACTGTAAGTTTTTTTTTCGGGAAATGTTTAATAATTTTCATTTCTATTTCAAAAAAAAAAATCTTTTTGAAATTTAAAAAAATTCAAAATCATCAACAATAATCTAAATTTTTGAGTAATTATCAAACTTACTATATCAATATTTTGTAATATATCTTGAAAACTAGCATGTGTTCTATAATTATCAAATATATCTCTATTATAAAGTAATGTATAAATAAGATTAATATTATGTCGAAGTGCATGTGTTAAACAAGAATTAATTATTTCTAAAACCATTCTCATAACATCTTCAATAATACTTAAATCTTGTACATATTCATTAAATGTATGATCATTTGAAGTATTTGTTGTTAATGTTTGTTGCTGTTGTTGTTTTGATTGTTGTTGTATAAGATCTAATGTTTTTGAATGTTTACGTGCAAGTAAATTAAATAGTGAAACAATTCTTTGTGATACATATGTATGTAAATTATGAAATTGTGAAGACATATTAGCTAATGCAGCAAGACAATTTGTATGTAAATATTTATCACGCATACGTGTCATATTAAATTGTATTGTACGAAGAACAACAGCAACTAATAAACCACCTAAACTTATTTCATTCAATGAACGTTCTGTATACCTGGAAATAATAATTTTTATTTCAAAATAAGATAGATATAATGAAAAAAAATAAAAATAAACATCGTTCTTTTTCTATTTTCATTAAGGATACCTCCCCCCTCTTCTTTGACACTTTCTGGTTCTCGAAGACGGTACAACCGATCAAGCTGAAATTTTTAGAATAGATAGAGGACTGAAAATAAGGAGATATGTGTTCGAGAAAAAAAAACATTGAAACAAGTTTTTGTGGGATTTTCTGGAAAACACTAATTTTCCAGAGCCCCGCATCCTCATACATTACGAGACCCGTTAAAGTTTGCCCGATTGGACTGAAATTGTGTTTTTAGATATCTAAGACTATTCCTCAGAGGTAAATTTAAGCTCTTTCAAAAATCTCACTTCCTTTTCTTTTTATAAGAGAAATATATCAGCACTCGAATTTTGGCTTTCAGGTCCAGGTAACTCCGCGTAAGAATGTCAAAAATGAAAACGCTTGATTTTACCTCTGGAGAATACTTTCAAGTATTAGTGGTAAAAATTTCAGTCCGATCGGACAAAATTAAGGGGAGGTTGTAAGCAACCAAGATTTAGAAAATTGGTGTTTTACGTAACGCTAAGAAAAAGGTTACATATGATTACTATGAAAAAAAAAATTTTTCTCAATCCAATAACTCTGTAAAAATAAGGTATTTACAGCTGAATAATGTCTCTAGTTGCATATGGCACTTCAGGCTATGATATCTTAGGCTCAGCTTGAAATCGAGTTTTTGATCAAAAAAAGAGCGGGGGGGGGGGGGCCCTTAAAATAAAAGTTTTAAAAGATTTCCAGTATATGTGCGAATATTTTTTTTTCAATATACTTTATGTTATAGTATTCTTCATAGACTTTGATAAAATATCAGTGAAATCTCCCAAATTGCATTTAGTTTATACAGTAAAAACGTTTTTTGAAATATTCATGACGAATTTGATATTGAGAATCAAATATGAAATCTTTTTGTCTTATGCACAAATACTTTTTAATCTGAAAAATTATCTAATATCAACATCAAATGCTCTTCTGCCTACATATTAGACTATAATCACATATAGAGTTTTATTAAAAAATATTGTTTCATTCGCTTAGAAGAACCAAAATATTGGAAATTCTGTCAAAAAAAACAAAAACATATTGTTTTTTGTCTAGATCAAATTTTGAAAAATCTACCAAAAACTATTCGAATACTTTTTTCACAGCAAAATATGATATACACCCCATTTGATCGTACATGTTACACAAAAAAATTCAATTCAATCATTCCAAACGTCTGGAATAAAATTTCAATTTTTCCTGTATGACTACAAAACGAACGTGTCTTTAAGTGATTTGTTTGGTTCATATTTAAATAGTAATTCAAAAAAAAGGTAGACATCGTCTCTATCAATCAGTGATATATTTTCATAAATGATATTCAATAATATTAATATTTATATAGAATTTTGTTTTTTCTCCTATCTACTCTTGTTATGTTAGATGTGCATGATAAACTTAATAATATTAAAAACATAGATTACCATGTTAATTTTTTCAATTTAATATCATGAATTGTTTTATTAAAATAATCATCTTCAGATAAAATCAATAGAATAATTAATGACATATAAATATGATGTGAATTTCGTTCAGTAGCTGTATAGATGACTCGAAGAACGGGTAATACCTTTATCAAAAAACAAAAACATTTTCAAACATAAAAAAAAAAGCAATTAAAACTTACAATTTGATCAATATTCGTTCGTGATATAACATACGCTTTAAAATGTTGATTTCGATGTAATAACATATAAAGTAATAATGTACTTTGATCAGTATGTACTGTTTGACAAAGAACATCATATAAACGACGATAATCAACAGAAAACCATGGTAATGGTTCTGAATCTGGTAAATTTGTTGGACTATCTTAAATATTATAAACATAAACTTCTTGAAAACCAAAAAAAAAAAAATATATTTACTAACCTTGTGTATCAGTAAAATGTAATAAAGCCAAACGATAAGGATTACGATGAGCATCATTAGTAAAATGATTACTTAAAATTAAAAGTAAATGTATACTTTGATTTGCTAAATGATGATTGCGAAGTTCATATGCTGGATCATTAGCTGTTAATGTTTCATCTGTAGTATTTGATGTCGATGATGAACCCATACCAAGTGTAACAACAGACCAAAGACCATCTAAATAAAATTACATATTTGAAAAGAGCAAAAAAAAAACCAAAATTTATCATTTCTTTTATAATGTTTTTTCTTTTTTATTGAAGAAAATATTTATAGTCTTGAACAAAAATAATCGCCTTTCATGTACTACTACTATTTTGAATTCATGTGTACGACAATAAACTCTGTTCGTAAGCATCGAAGTCACTCTTCAATGATTAATTCAGATTGCGAAAAACAAACAGATTCAATGAAAATAAGTACTTAAAATTTGTTTGTTATTCTAGATAGTCAACATATCCTGGAATAGTGAACCGATTTTGTACTGCTAATTCGACTTTATTCAATGTTGTAACTGTAAAATTTCAAAGAAAAGTCATTCTGAAAAAGAACTAACATTTTTCTTAATTGAATGAAACGTTTCAAGAAAATATTTGTGAGAATATACTTGAGATAAAGTAACATAGGAAGAAGATGATATTCTTTTTGTGTATATGTCAACCGATAGATGGCAGATCAGTGCTTGCAAATAGAATTTATTCTCGTATGCATGTATCAACTGAATATT